ATGACAATACAGATAGCTGAAATTGAGCTCTATCAGCTGGTAAAGTAAATATTTAGATGACTATACAGATAGTTGTAATAGAGCTCTATCAGCTGGTAAAGTAAATATTTAGATAACTATACAGATAGTTGATATTGAGTTCTATCAGCTGGTAAAGTAAATATTTAGATGACTATACAGATAGTTGTAATAGAGCTCTATCAGCTGGTAAAGTAAATACTTAGATGACAATACAGATAGCTGAAATTGAGCTCTATCAGCTGGTAAAGTAAATATTTAGATGACTATACAGATAGTTGTAATAGAGCTCTATCAGCTGGTAAAGTAAATATTTAGATAACTATACAGATAGTTGATATTGAGTTCTATCAGCTGGTAAAGTAAATATTTAGATGACTATACAGATAGTTGTAATAGAGCTCTATCAGCTGGTAAAGTAAATATTTAGATGACTATACAGATAGTTGATATTGAGCTCTATCAGCTGGTAAAGTAAATATTTAGATGACTATACAGATAGTTGTAATAGAGCTCTATCAGCTGGTAAAGTAAATATTTAGATGACTATACAGATAGTTGATATAGAGCTCTATCAGCTGGTAAAGTAAATATTTAGATAACTATACAGATAGTTGTAATAGAGCTCTATCAGCTGGTAAAGTAATATTTAGACAACTGTATGCCTGTATATCAACAACCGAAATGAAAGTTTTATGTCCTACTTTTCTGCACCTTACTGAGCTACTGAGGACAGGCAACTTCATGCAGTATGCAATGTGGGAAATTTTGCCAGTACATCATATAACATACATACCATTTTCTGTTCTTGCTGTTCCATAGTCAGACAGAGATGGTTTTGATGGTAGTGTAAATGATGAGCTATTTTCAGATCTATTCATAGCAGGTTCAGAGATTTCATTTAAAACTTTTGGATTGGTATTGTCATTCTCTAAAATTTCTTTTGGGTTTGTGGCATCATCACCTCCTAAAAATAGAATTGAATTACCACAGTGGAACAGAAGCATCTTATATACAATATACACACAGGATCAAAAAAAAATTCAAAATTTGAAAGGTATATGTATAACCATTGCCAAAAAATTTCCACTTATGTATTTAGATCAGAGGTGAAAATTCTTATTCTGTTCTTGGACCAAAAATCTGCAATACTGCAATCTGTGATACAAGAAAGGTGACTATTGCAGTCAAGGTATTGGATACAAAATAATAGCTTGACAGTGTGAAGATGCAAGAAAGGTGACTATTGCAGTCAAGGTATTAGATATAGGTCGTAATAGCTTGATATTGTGAAGATGTTGTTGCAACTGCTATATACTAACCTACACCGAGAATAAATGGGTGGAAAAAAGGAAGTACCTTACCTGCAGCCATGTTTATCAAATCACTTCCTGAGGAATCTAATGTAAAGTCTAAAAGTAAAAGATATGGGTTTCAGTGTTTCAAATCTTGCATCTGTTCATGATAGATAATCACGTGAATTGTATTAAGAGTGAGGAAGGTTATAGAAACTCCTACGTAAAGCAATGGCCAAGGTCACAAATAAAGAGAACTCCTAAAAATAGAGTGGAGTAACATGAAATATTGTTTGATACCAGTTTTCATGAAATTTTGTAATGCCTCAAATTATGCAATTTTCGTACCATTCTGATACTTCTGGAGGCTATTCACATTATTCAAGGACTAAATCAACCCTGAATCTGTCCCTAAAAATGTGGCTTTTGTACTCACTGGAAAAATCTTCATTTTCAACGGCCTGTTTTGATTGTTCTGTCTTATCTTCTTCACCATCTCCATCATTGTATTCATTTTCTACTGGTGTTTTCATTACTTTATCTTTATCAGATGACAGTGGTCTAGTTGTTTCTTTAATTGGTTGTACTGCAGAATTACTCTCAGGAGAAAACGGTGATTCCACATGAGATGATGATCTTGAAATTAGAGGTGATGTTTCATTATCAAGATCATCCGAAGGACTTGGAACAATTGAAGCTATAGTAAGCGTAAGATTTGAAGTTTTAGTTGACTCTGAATCCAATGATGAAGGACTCGGTTCTGGTGGAATTAAACTGGATGGTGGATTATCAGAGACAGATGGGAAAATTGGGCGGTCAGGATTACCAGAAGAAGGCCCAGGATCCCTTGCTGGTACCCCATTTCCAAAATCAAGATTCACTTCATCACAATCTCTGGCATAATTAGCATTTCCATTTACAACTCCATTGGCATGCCCATTTACAACTCCATTGGCATGCCCATTTACAACAGCAGGATATTTAACATTTTTCTTTACATCATATTTCTTCTCTGAAAATCATAAGAAAATTCTCACTTAGTATCATAAATCTAAATTTAGACGGTGAGCTGTGAATACTATAACTGATTGGCTTAGATAAAAAAATTTCCTGTTTCTGAGTCTAAGGTATGATTGGTAAAAAATATGGCACAGCTGTCCCTTGAAATAAATTGAAAATGATTTATTGAAGGTCATCGGAACCCACAGACGCCATTTGCTCGACGCAACCAAGCAAATGAGACAAATGAGACCATGTAAAGAACCAATTGTGCTACTGCTATAGAACCTCATACATTTTTTAACATAGATTGTTAGCTGACTGCTAGGGTATCTGTGATGTTATTTGTTAGCCAGTAGAGTGAAAATCAAGTTTTGAAAGGGCTAAGAAGAGAGGACTTACTTTTAATAAAGTTTCTGCAACGTTTATAACAACAACATAGAAATATTATAACCAGAATGATTAAAACACCACCAATTATACCTCCAATTAGGGCACCGTTATCTAAATGAGAAAATGGGTTATACATCTTATTTTTCCAAAGATCAAATAGGCTAGAGAATACCTGCAGTGTTCAATGAGTAAAGTTTGTCAATTTAAATCTTCAATTCAAAGTGTCATAGGTTCAGTTAGTTACAGAACTCAAAGAAACACAAGAGATCTAGTATTTTTGTCCGAGATTATGGCTGTATGAATATAAAGCCAAGCATGGAATCATCTGGTTTTCAAATTAATAGCAGGAGCTTCGCTTTAGATGAGATTAAATGTGCCTTCACACTAAGCCCCAGACTGGAATTCAGGGGAGTTGTCCTTTTGGACGAAACCAATTTTACTTCAGCCACGAGTTAAAATCATCTTCTATTAGTTGGCTTCTGTTACAGCAAAAAAACTCAGGGAAGTAACCCTGACCTAGCCACAGTGTACAGTGTTACAACATCTTCGTTAAAATAACCTGGCTTCCTTCACAAGAGCTGACAGAACATTTGACTCACAGAAAATAGAAAAAACAAAATACACATAAACTTCATATGGAGTCGTAAAATAGAATGAAAGTACCTTCAGTTTTGGGCGTTGATATCACAATCGGTGTACAGTTTAACTCATTTGTATACTCTCCATTTAAACACAGAGAATAATCTTTATTCCGCTCGTATCCCTGGTTACATGTCACGTTACATATCGTACCATTATCAACAATATCCGTATTACAGTTGCTCATTCCATTTTTAAGATCTAGTAAGCCAAAACATGCTGAAAATTAAACACAGCCATTCTTAGATAAACATGTCATTTTACAGCTTGGAGGCAAAGTAAAGTCAAAATCAAATTTGTTCAATAACTCATCAATCTAAATGACCATCCATTAAAATCGATTGAAAATATTGAAGAGTTTTTTTGTCAAGTTAAAGGCAATAATTCAGAAACTGTTCATTAAAAATAGCAAAAATTGATTTTGTGGCAGGCAAGATCTTTCTTCCAAAACACTTCTGCTAAACATCAAGATTATCAAAACCAATGAAGGTATTGGACACCAACCTAGTCCAAAACATCTGCCTCTATTCCAGCCTCTGATCGATATTTTGACAGTTGTCAGCTGGAGTAGGGTCAGAAAACTTGGTGCTCTTTTATGGGGATGTTTCTGCCTCCACAGGGTTCAGTTTTAGAAAATTTTAGAAAAAATTCATCAAATATTTTTGGAAAGATGGATATTTTTGTAGTTCAGTCTTTATCATTAAAAAAGCACTTACCAATTCTGTGACATTTTGGTGGTGGATTCCAAACTGGTCTTTGATTAATAACAGAACATTCAACAATGGCGTCGTCTGTAATATATCCTCTATCACAATGGATGTTTAACTGAGTCCCAACCACTGGTTCTGTTATGATAGCAGGTGGTCGGTTATCAAAAGTATAATAAGGATTCTGTAGCTGTGTGCTACCATTATCAAAAGGCAGAGGGTAAGGGCACTGTACATCTGAAATTGGAACAATAATGATGTTGTTAAGAATCATTCATTACAATACCAGTCTAATTCAAAATTAAACCAAACTTTCGTTCTGTTTTTTTATTGACTTTTATTTCTAATATAGCCACTTCAGTTGGGGTCTTAAAAATAACCTAATCTGATGACATCTGCTTAAACCAATCATATCTCTCACAAAATGTCAGCACTGGAGA